CGTGGTCCTATGTTGGACGTGATCCTATGTTGGACGTGGTCCTATGTTGGACGTGGTCCTATTTAGGACATTGACCTATGTCGGACGTGGTCTTATGTTAGAAGTGTTCCAATGCCCTTACTGTACTAGAGAAAGGTTACCTTGCGTCAGCAACGACCTTTGCTTATTGTTTTTTTTAAAGGTCCGTATCAGGAGCTCGTGTATGTTTACTGGTATTTTTTTCTCTACTTTCTCGTAAACAGAGAAGAGAGGAAGTATTGTAATCGTACAAAAAATCGAGATTTTAACACAGCACGATGTTTTAGAACTTCACCACTAAGTTTTGAAATCTTGAAATCTTGTCCGTCTGCTGTGTGTACACGATAGCTTCCGTACCACTTTATTTAGGTAGATGGTACTCATAAATATTATAGTATATAAGTGATAGTTTTCTGTCAATGTTTCAGCAATTTCCGGTAACCGGAGGTGGCACTTACTCTATTTCAGTTTCTTAAAAGTCGAAACCTCGAGTAGCATTTAGGTTCGGCGGACGAAGATTTACGTGCAAGTTATGGTATGTACAGGTCTATATCAGTTTTTTATTCTAGTTCCAATTCTAAAACGCCGATAACTTGATTACCTTTTCAGTACCTTGGGTAAAATGACATCTATAATAATAGTTTCGCTGTCTGTGTATCTATCTATCTATCTGTGTATGTATGTATCTGACAAGAACGCTCTAGATAAAAGACAAGCAATTTAAAAACTTGCACAGTGAAACGAAAACGAAATATGACGTCGTATTGAGCATAGAGTAGAAAATAATATCAAGCCGGAGAATGCACACAGTAATATTACGTCATTGATTCTCGAGTAAACATTGAATAAAAAGGAAATTTCGTTTAATCTAAGTGGTTTGCGTGAAGAGTTTCTTTCATACAATTCTTCGGGTAGGGGCGAAGCCCCACCCCCACGTAAGAACGTCTGATCCCCTCTCCCCAACTCAAAACAAATTTCTTCATCGATACTCTATAATAAAATTACCGCCTAATTAATGTGTCTAATCTAAAAAGTGGTTTTCTTGCAATTTCTTTAATGCAATTCTTCGGGTAGTGGCTAAGCGCGACACCAGTGTTTCTTTCAGACTTTTTCCTCCCCGGAGGGGGGAACTTTTTCTAATCTAAAAAGTGTTTAGTGTGCAGTTTTTTTTTATGCATCTCTTCCGGTAGGGGCTAAGCCCCGCCCAAATTCTTCCTTTAGTTTGTATGATCTACAAATGCGACCAGTGTTTCTTTCAGACTTTTTCCTCCCCGGAGAGGGGGTGGGGGTACATGAAATTTTCGGGGGCGGGGGTAGAATTTTCTGGGAGAGGGCGGACACTGGAAAAAGTATATAATTATATTTCGTTGAATGGGACGGTTGACATGTTTTGGAGTGTGTGTGGGGGGGGGGGGGTGGAGGGGGGCGAAGCCCCCTCCTCCCAAGTCGAGTTGCCTGAAAGAAACTCTAAATGCGACTTTTGTCATGAATGAGATTAGGTACATGGTTTAAGGATATGCCTATGACTATATTTTGTATAAATTAAAGTACCGAGAAAATAGACAGCACTATCAACCTAGCGCCCGTTGTATCCTTCCTCAACGGGCCATTTTTCTCGTATATCAATAGTTTTCTGTCAAATTTTGAGCAATTTTCGGAAACCGGAATTGGCGTTTTAATCTGTTTAGAGTTTGTTAATTGTACATAATATTCTCATGATGTTTTTACAGAGAACATTTGTCTCCATATATTTTCTTAAAAATGTCTATATTATAAACTTCTATATTTCGATTCCCCGATTACACTGAAAGCGCCATACCCACCCACAGAATATTCGAGAAAGATTAGGGGAGCTTATTCCCGCTTAATTTTCCTCTTAACTTAAGAACTTTTTCGAATATGCATAAATTCCACTGGAATATATGTTGTGCCGGACAAAGTCAAAATTAGAAACAATCTTTGGCTGGCACCATGGTCAGTTTTCAAAGACTAAAAACATCCAAAACGTGTTTATCAACATTTATAAGTAGTGCATATTTGTGAATCTAAATTTATTCTATTCATAGGGCCTACATTGGAAATTATTGTTACATTTTCTATATTTTAAAGCACAGTTGGTGACATACTCGAAAATTAATTTATTGGTAAAAATATTTAAACACGTAGAATTGTTCGACTTCTCTGTTAGATAGAACAACATCTAAAAATATGAAGTGCAATGTCTTATAAAAATTGAGAAATATTTTTACCTTTACCTATCGTTTAGTCAACACTTGACATTGTAATCGTTAAAGCGTTAACTTCTAAGGCACACGTTATGGTAGGCTATCGGTCTCAACGTGACACGCAATCTTTTGATGCGTTCTAAAGTCGCTGCTTTCTCGTCTAGTGCCCGCTGTGCTGACACTACGAGGGTTTCAAACATTTTGTAACAGCTAACTCATTCCTTCCCGCTCCCCGCACTTCAACCCTCTTCATCCCTCTCCTCCCTCTCCCTACATCCCACTCCCTCCCTTCAACTCCCTCTCTCCCTCTACCTCTCCTCCCTCTACCTCCCTCCTTCCATCTCCTTCCCTCTCCCTCCCTCTCCCTCCCTCTCGCTCTCACTCTCACTCTCCCTCCTTTCTCTCTTTCCTTCTTCTTTCCACTCCCTCCCTCTCTCTCCCTCTCCCTCACTCTTCCTCCCCTCTCTATCCCTTCCTCTCCTTCCCCTCTCCCTCCCTATGTTTCCATCTTCCCACTTCCTCCCCTCCATCTCTCTCCCTCCCTCTTTCTCTCCCTTTCCATCACTCTCCCTCACTCTCCCTCCCCCTTCCCTCTCTCCCACCCAAAA